TGTGGGGCAGCATTGACAAGTTTCTTTTCTCCTGGATGTGTGAGCTGCGCGATCTCTGATATGTGTGTGTGTGTGTCAGTAAGCAGCACATTAATATAGAACGGTAATTAAAGGCTCTAATGCACACCAGTATAGGTGTGTGTATTGTAGGAGCTAGACGACGTATGATGACGTGTGACGTATAGTAGGGGTGTCCCAATTCTTAGGGGAATATTTTCACCCCTACCAACTTGACACTCCGTTTCAAGGGACAAGGGGAAGGGGTAGGCGGAGGGGTAGGGGAAGGGGAAGGGGTATAAAATAGAATTGGGATTGGGCCTTAGCCTTTGTCTAAAAATGGCAGATTATCATACAGTAGTACAATATTTCAGAAGTGGATCAAATAGTTAATATAGATGTATTGTTGTGTTTGAAAACTTGTGACGCATGTTCTTAGTGCTGGAAATCTAGATTTGCTGGGATCAGGCATTTAGACATAACCTCTGCAGGAAGTCAGGCCTCCAGGAGTAGAATTGAACACCCCTGCTGTAAAGATTATAAACATCACATTACACTTACATTCTTAAGATGCCGAGTAACTTCCTAATTGTTAGTTGTACTTGATCTTCATTGTTGCACAGCGTCTTTATTTTTCACTTTGAGCATTTGCAGATTTATTGAGCCAAGCTTCATTGTAGACACAGCATGAAGGTGTTATAACTCGCTGACCTGTGGTTGCTTTCGACGGTGACACGCTTTGCACTTCCTGTTACGGACTGTTAACCCTCATTACTCTTTCACACATTCTTCCCCACACTGACAGACATAATGAATTATGATCTCACACACACACTTTTTCACACTCAAATCACAAGTGCTGTGAATCACAGCAGACTTTCTAATGTTAACCTTTTCAGGCGAATCATCACTTTGCGGCATGTGAGTATGTAGCCTCTGGAGACAATGTCTTATAGTAAGTTCACGGCCGTGGATATTTGTAGATCTACTGAGCAATTCGGTATGTTGTTGACAGTGGAAATGTCACTGAATGTTTTCTTTAAACACTTCAGATGCATTTGTACTTGAAATATTTTTACTCTAAGGTCATGAATGCTGAGTAAATCTGTAATGTCTGGTCTCATTTGGGACATAATCAGTTTTGAGCTCTCATAGCCATGGAATTGTTTGTTTTTGGATGCAGTTCCACTTCATGTTTGCTTTTACGCGCTCTTAATAGTTTCAGCAGCCTTGTAAGACTGAAACTGGATCAGCAGGTGCAGGATCAGTTTCATTTGTACTCAAATCATTTGAAGTGTCTTCACACTCCCAGCATATGTGGTTGTTGGCTTTTGGACCAATGAGATTACAACAAAATATCCTGCTTCTCACGATTATTTCTGCTTGGGACAAAATGTAGATTTATGTAAAGAGATTGTGTCAGTTTATCACACAGTTACACTGCAAGGCCTTATAGACTGATCCAATATTTTGACAAACATTTTTTATGTCCTGATCATTTACATTCAGACATTAACGACATTAAATGTAAATGTAATGTTTACATTTAATATCGCGCCAAGACACACTATGCCAGTGATTTGAAGTACCATTAAAATGTTTTTGTTAATCTTTGTGCCATATCAAACTGACACCACCAAAAAAAATTTATATGCGTATTATATGTATAATATTTCAAAATATTGCTTGCAGTAACATCCCATCATCCATACAAAATGTATTGTTAGCGTACAAATCAACTACATTGTATGTTCTTAAAGAAATGTGAGTGGCGATTGCTTGTGCATACAGTACATACATACATGATGCCATGGTGTGGTGGAGTGGTTGCCAGGGCGTTGCTATGCAGATTCTGCGTTTTTCTAATTGGTTGTGATGGGCACAATCACAGCCAATCAGAACATATCTGATGTTTCATTTAGGACCACACCTGAAAGCTGCCCAAATTTAAAATGCAAAAAAATTCAATCCAACATATTTGTTTGTTTCTTTTCGCACATATACAGCAATGTTTGTGACTGATATATAAAAAATATTAATATTAATATTAATTGTAATATTTCATATAAATTTTACTAGTAAATATTAATATTTAATTTCTTAAAATTTTAACTTTAAATAAAGCATGGATGTGGCAAGTTCAAAGTAACACTTTAATTATTAAATCAACATCCTTGATTTCAAATTAAACATTTTATTTTACAATAATTAAATATTAAAATATGTATTAAATTATAACATTAATATTTAATGTATTTAAATAATTGAATAATCATATTATTCAATTATTTTAATATTATTTTATTTCATACATTTTAATATTAACATTATGAATAATATAATATGCATTTGCATTTTTATTTTTATTTTTTTTTTTAAATAAATTAGGGATGTGGTTTTAAGTTTACAAAGTGTCACTTTAACACTTTAGACACTTTCATAATCTAAACAAACATTATTACTTTTTTAATTAAAAATAAAAAATATATTTAATTTATAACATTAATATTAAAATCTATTAAAATAATAAATAATTGAAATATTATGCATACATTATTAATAAATTTTTTGATATTAATTTTAATTAACACATTTTACTAATAACTTTATAAATGATTAAATATATTAATTTTTAATTTCATTTAAATTATATTTTTTTTATTTAAATAAGTAGAGATGTAGCTTAAATTTTTCAGAGTGTTTAGCAGCAGTAAAGCAGATTTTCAGATTATGCTGTCGGCTCAAGCCTATAGCCGGGTCACCGTCTGGGCCAGCGTTTGAACACGTGTCCCCTAAACCCCCTGACCTTCAGCTGGATGATCTCTGACTCTCTGAAGGGGGGTGTCTTTGCAGGTGGGGTGGAAACTAGAACGGGTAACAGGAATCACTTTCATCCTTTTTTTGTATATAATTCCTTTTTTGTTCTTTTCTTCTAACAGGATCTGTCCTCCTTTATCACGCTTGATCCCCCGTTCTTTTTGATTGTTGCTTGATATATTTCCTACCAGAAAACTGGCTGTGTGCCAAGCCTTTTTTATAGTTTGCATGTAGAAACAATACATTTTTCAATATGCCGAAGCACAACATTTATCCTACCTCTGGATGTTGACAAATGATAATGGAAATAACAGAGAAAAGGCTGACTGCGTTACTTCACATGGGTTGCTTTCTTTGGCCCGTGTGCTTCTCGAGGCCGAACTGTTAACCCTTCAGATAGAGTCAACCTTTTACTTTTAATGCATTGGACCTCATCACTGAAGCACAAGTCGTCAATGAAGAAAAATACTGCTGAAGTATTGTAAGAATTTATGAATCCTAGATGTAGAAACATGAGCCCTTCAATGCTCTGGAGTCGTAGCTCATAACAGATAACAGGTTCTAGAGTGCTCACCGTTTCAGTTTTTATTTTGATAAATAAGTTATGTAGTTTGGAACAGTGTTCTTGGAAAACACGGTCTGAGGAGCTGCCACCAGTTGCGTCTGTGGGATTGTGTTGTGTTTTGTCCAAAACCTGAACATGTGTAGTCATGGGCCTCCCCCGTCTGTCACAATCGCTCCATCCATGAATGCATACACTCTGTGTCTTTACTAAAGGACTGTTGACGTTGCTGTTGGCCCAGAACCAGCTCTCTCTAATCACCCACATAAAAACCCAGAGTTCAATGCAGTATTTTTAGATTGATGAATCATGTTTTCCATTCTGGTACAAATATGGCTCAGATCTGCCCTAGAGGTCTTGACAGGCATGATTTGATGTGTGAAAATATTTGAGAGTTGAATGAATAGGACCATCAAATCTGTAATTCAATGAATATAAATGTGTCTTCCTTGGAGTGCCAAGGGTCCTTAGTTTGGCCTTTAGCTGTTATATGGTTTTGGTCAGATAAAAAGCTATTTCATAAAGCCTTTTTCAGAGATTAACTTTTAAACATAGATTTATTTATTCATTCATTCATATAATAAATAAATATATATACTATATTGTATTTACAACACAATATTTTTACAGCATGATAGACTTTTTTAGCAGTTAACATTTCTAAACTGAATTTTTAGACATGAACAATTGTATATTATTCATTTTTTATTTATTTAGGACCATTCTAAAGCTGCAGGTTTCATTAATTAGTATTTTTTTTTAATTGTTTAACAATCACTTTTTTTAACAATCACATTACCATATTTCTAAACCGAACTTTTTAAGCATGAACAATTGAATATTGTAAAGTTCTTTCTTTCTGTCTTTCTTTCTTTAAAAAAGACAATTCTGGGGTTTTTTCTATTTCATTCATATTTTTACAGCATGATAAAGAATTTTTTAACTATTACATTATTATATTTCTAAACTGAAATTTTAAACATGAACAATTGTATATTTTGGGTACTTTTGAGTAATAAATAAGTAAATATTTATTCAAACAGCACAATTTTAAAGTTTGATTAATAAACATTTTTACAGCATGACTTTTTAACAATAAAAAAAATATATAAACTGCATTTTTCGAATTATTTGCTTGCCGTTTCATGATCTCATATTGAGAGACCACATGGAATATTTGTCTATTTTTTTTCTAATTTATTTGTGTTGATAAAAATTGTGATTTAAAATGAAAACCTTTCCCTTATGCAGTCATACAAAATTAAACCTGTATATTTGTCCCGTATTTTTTTTAGTAGATATGTATGGTTGTGTGTTTAATTAGGATGTTTTTGTGTTTTGTGTTCATAGGGTCCACCCGGGGCTTCAGGGAGAGATGGCATGAAGGTATGTTTTCTATCTATCTTTATCTCTGTCCACTACTTTTCAAAGCTGTGGCCAAGGGCTGTTTTCCATGTGCAGAGTGCAAATATTTGGAAAAGCAGGATAAAGACATTTAAGATCAATGGTGACTGATCATCACTAACGTAATGATCTCTTGGATGGCGTTGGGTCGATGACTAAAGACCAAAATGTTCAAATATGACATCATAGATGGCAGGACGAATTGCAGATATTTTGCAATGTCAAAACACCATTATTACGTCCTTGAAATGGCAAATATGATTAGTCCAAATATTGAGTAAAATTACACAGAGAGACTTCACAATACACCACAGATAATCATGGTATATTAAAGCTTTGATATCATATATTTATATTATCATATCACTGTATATTTTATTTAACTCTCAAAGTTTGTGAACTACTGATATTTTAAAGATATCAAGCATAGTATAGTACTGCTGTTTACTCTCAAGTCTAACTGTTACAAGTGATCTGTTAGCTCATGGTCTAAAAACAATAGTAAAACAATACTAAAAATTTAGATTTTTGCCAAATATTATATCAAAAGTTGGTCAAGTTATAGAAGAATTTAGGCTTTTGAAAGTCAACAAGACTAGGCTTGGAGACTGGTTTATACACAAACTCTACATTAAAATCCACTGAAGATAACTCAAAAACCAGAAACATTCTGTTCACAATTACACAAATGTTTATGCAAATGTTCGAGATATTGCAAGCGCTCTTATGTTGTAGATATAGAATTTTAACATCAAATAAGGTAAACCCAGAAGGTATAGTGTATAGTGTGTGCACTTCTGTTACAGGTTTGTATTTGAGCTTTCATGTTTATTCATTATTAGTAATAAATTAAGGTTACACTTTATTTTAAGGTGTCCTTGTTACAGTGTAATTATACATTTAAATAGTGAGTAATATTAATTAACTACTACATGTACTTACTATAGTGTTAGGATTAAGGTTTGGTTTATGGTTAGATGCATGTAATTATCCCTAATTTATAGTTTTTACTGTAGTAACTGCATGTAATGTAACAAGGACACTGCACAATAAAGTGTTACCTAAATTAAAATTTAAAAAATTATAATAAAACACAGTATTTAAAACTTTTAAAATGTATGTAGTATATTCCTCATGTACGGTAATAACAAAATGTAGCATTTTAATGAAGAATATTTTTGTTAATTGTTTATCATAAGTTTTAGAAGTAATTATATATCTATATATATCCCCTTAACTGTCACCCCCCATTTTTTAAAATAGGCATGAAAGTGCACTATCCAAACTTAAATTGTTGTAATTTATGAACACTTTGGAATACAGACCTCAGGTTGGTCTCTTTTTAAAGTAGAAAATCAGCTGATTATTGCGCAAGTCGGATGTTTTCAAAAAATTAAAGTATCAAAAAGTTATAGAAGTTTAAATTTACTGTAAATAAAATGCACTATATTAATTTTATTTTATTTTATATATATAATAAATATCTTACATAACAGGTTTTACTCTAAAATTGGTATAAAATTAAAGCCTTATGTCTAAATAAGTTATGTTCCAAATTTGAAGTTGATATGAAAAAAATTGAGGTTCCTGTGAGATTTTATTTAGGGTGTCATACCACAAACAGCCACCGGGTGCCATCCAAACTCCATTTAATTTTTTTAATGCATTTTTCTGTCACAAATGTCTAGATTTCTCTGTCAATATTAATTCTCAAATAACCACCAAATATTGGATCCTGAGACTCAGACCTTTCCAATGATATGTTTTTTGTCAAGATTATAAAAAGGTTTGATTCTAAAAGACCGTAATACATTTTGTAATATGACACTTGACACTGCCCACTAAGGGGGAGGAGACCGCCAAAAGATGTTACATGTTTGTATAGAAGGTTTTTCTGGCTTTGTATTCACAAATCAAAAACATCTGGGCCGCTTGCTACCTCTCTGTGAACCCTGACCCTACATAATCCCCACAGAGGGGTCAATATCTCACAACGTCTGTCTGTGTGGTACCTACTGCCATACCTCAGCCCAAATGAGCTAGAGACCAGCTCCAAATGGTGCGCAGAAACACTGCTAAGATAACATTTATATATACACTCGGATGCTGAATAAACGTGTTTCTGTCTTTTGGTTTTATATTCCAGCTAAATTGCATTGTGCAGTGATTGATTTGCTGAACGACGGAGTAGAGCTGTCTGATTTTGATGTGGCCAGTGATGGCTTGTTTTCTCACGTGTGATCGTGTTACTGAGAGATAGCGGGCAATAACTGTCCCATTGGACTTCTCAAGGCTTCTTTACTGTAATCATGCTAACCCAAATATTTGTTTGGTTTCTCCAGGGAGAGAGAGGGGTCCCCGGCCCTTCCGGACCTCCAGTAAGAACTTCTTATCATGGCACTTTCTCTCATGGTTCTTACGTCTGAAATATATTTGTCTGTTTTAGTCTTTTTCGCTCTTACCCTTGATCACTCTTCATCTGTCTTTCTGTCTATCTCTCTTTCAAAGTACTAAAGCAGACATCCTATTGTGATTATCCACAAAATCAGGTTTAGAAGATGTATTTTTCTTGAAAACAGACCCAAAAAACTCTTCTACCCCTTGCAAACTTTGCTGTGCCTTTTTATAATAACTGGAAAAGGGCTGTGTGCCACAACAAAACTAGATTACTAAACTACGCCGAAAGAACGTGATGCTGCACCCTCAGTTATATATATAAATAAAAAAAATAATTTTACAAATAAATTATATCTCAATTGAAATTAAAATTGGAAAAAAAAAGTTATTGAGCTATATCGTAATTGTATATTTATGTATGTGTATGATTTTTATATAATAAAATTATGTTAATAATAGAAATTCATAGTAATAGTAAAAATGATAATTCATTAACACATGTATGTGATTTCGGTATTATGAATTTTATTGTGCATTTAAATAACTTGTGACTTTTTATGTAAAAGCCAACTCATGATGTTTTTGTTTTCTACCCTTCTTTAAATAAAAAAATTTAATAATCAAGGCTTTTTTTCTAACCATATGTACTTGCAATTGTTGTATTTGAAATGAATTATGCATGCAAAATCATCAGTCTTGCAATTTAAATTATTATCAATTCTATTTATAAACTATTTATTTATTTTATTTGTTTGTTTGTTTTGTATTACCACTTTTTCTTTTGCAGATTTTTTTCCTATTTTCAGTGATTTTGCATGCATTATTTTGGCAAAATCTGTAGAATGCTCAAAATAGAAATAAATGAATAAAAACCAATAAAGAAATAAAAAATGTATATTAATTTAACTGGTAAGACTTAAAAATATTGACCAAAATATTTTGATTTTGCAGAAGTTTTCTAAGTCTCACCATTTAAATTGCTATAAATTCTATGTTATGTTTTATTATTTATTTATTTAGATTAATTAAGCCTATTTGATGGCAGTGTAGACATCTGCAAGGCTGCTATGGTGCAACAGCAGTGTACACAGTGTTTAAAGAAAACTAAACTCATCAAAAGTTACTGTAAATCATGTACACATGAATTCTCATTCTTAAGAACTGACTTCTGTGTTTAAAGTATCCAAGCTCAACAGGAAGGGAGGAACAGCTCACTAAATTAGACGTACAGAAAGACAGAAAGTGTGTTGAAAATGTGAATCATCTTTATTTTACATGATTGCTTAATGCCCATTTCTGTTAATCCTGTGGGTGTGGAACAACTCTTAATCCAGTGACCTGGAATTTGATGTGATGATGAGTGTGTTTGTGTTTTCAGGGCCCGCCAGGATCCTTTGACTTCCTGTTACTCATGATGGCTGACATTCGTAACGACATCGCAGAGTTGCAGAACAAAGTGTTCAGCAGACCATTATACTCCGTAGAGGATTTCCCATCTGCCCCGGACAATTGGAGGGACACCCAGGAAAGCCTGGACTTTGGCTCTGGAGAAGACTACAAACCCCAGATCCCGCCTAAGAGCACCAGGAAAAGGAAATTGCCCCGGACCTTAAATAATCCAGATTGGCCAATTTAAAGATTGCCCACAAAGAGTGCCAGAACTGAAAGAAAGAACTGATTGTAGAGAGAATGAGTAGTGTAAATATCACAGAACGACTATTTAATGTATACTCGCTGAAAAAAGGCTGAATGTATTTCATTGTATGAAATTTCTATTTTTATAATATAAAGGATGTACATTTTGTATTTTGGGCATTTTGAACGTGTCATTTGTGTACCAAATAACTAATAGGTTACATGTACCATAGTTCTCTTGTTCTAGGGCCAGATTTACGGAACATTAAGAATCAAATTCTTCTTAACTGCTGATTTCTTATTTTCTAGCTTAAGAAAAAAAGTTAAGAATATTTTGTAGTTCCAAAAATACTTCTAAAAATATTTGTAAGGTTTCTTAAGATAGCACAAGAAGAATTAAAATTCTTTAAAACAAATGGCCTAATTTTATTCTAATTAATATATAGAATGTGCAACATACTACAGTTCAAAATGTTGTGGTCAGTCATATTTTATTATTATTATTTGAAATAATACTTTTATTCAGCAAGCGTGCATTAAATTGATCAGATAAAAAAAATTAAACTGATAAAAAAAAATCTGGTTTAAATAAATACTGTTCTTTTATATTCATTAAAGAATCCTGAAAACAATGTATCGCAGTTTCCACAAAAATATTACGTTTTCAACATTGATAATAAGCAATGTTTTTGAGCACCAAATCATTATATTAGAATGATTTATTATATATATATATATATATATA